TCCCCAAAACCCCAAAACCCCAAAACCCCATACAGCTGTTCCAAATAGAACCCTTTTCTTGGCAACAATAAAATTAAAATAAAGAGAGGTTAACAAGAAATAAAAATAACTATAGCTTCTTGAACAAAGAACTGACGTTGTTATAGAAGAGAATAGGGGAAGGGAAGAGTTGGGGAATGCTATGAATATGGTACATTTGTCTTTGGCTATTTTAGAGCTAGGGTTAAGATATTTTAAAAAATTGATCTTTGATTGAAGAATTTGTTATATTTGATCTTCTTGGGCTTCCTACTCTTCCTGATCTTGGATTTCTTCTTGGTAGTCAATTTCTTCATGATCTTGCTGATTTTCTATTTCCTCCAGCTCTTCTGGAATTTCCTGCTCAGTCTCAGACTCAGAGTAATATTGCTCAACTAAAAATTTAATAGACTATAATACCTTGTTCCTTGAGAGCCTTATACTTCGCCTTCCACTTTTTTGATTTGTTAAATTTTTCAAAAAGCTTGTTATAATCCTCAATATCTTCAGTATTCTTTTGACTTTGCTCGTCAAGTTGCTGCTGTAGTGAGCTTACTTCATCTCTAGCCTCAATCAACTGGTTAAGGAGACTTTCAATTTCTTCTTTCAGATCATTCTTTTTAGTCTTAGCTTTAGCTAGCTTCTCTTTCTTACTTTGAACTTTTTCTTTGAACATTTGACATTTTTCTTCAAGAGTTTGAATCATTTGTTGAAGTTCAGCATTTTCTTGCAACAGTATTTCTTTCTGTTCATTTCCCTCTTTGAGTCGCTCTGTGAGAGAGTCTACCTGTTCTTTGTATCTTTCAGTTTCTTGCATCTTGCTAAATCAAAGGTTAAGGTCTTTCATAATAATGCTTCTTAAAAGCATTTAACTCAATCTTTAAAAAGTATCTGAAAAGATCATGATTGTCAGATAATAAAAATTTAGATAAACTTACCTTGAGAATTTTTCTTCAAGCTGAGAGATATCTTCCTTTGAAATGTTGATTTCTTTCTTTAGTCGAGTATTCTCAGAAAATATTCTCTTCATAGATTCCTCTAGCTCATTATTTCTTACTATTTCTATTACAAAGCATCATTACCAATTAAGTTATCAATCTTTTCCAAAGTTCCCTCATACTTAATTCCATTCTTCTCCACCCTCTTTTTTACCTCAACCTCCCTCTTCTCCAACATCTCCTCTCTCTCAGCCATTAGTACCTCCAACCTCTCATTCTCTTCCTTCAATCTCTCAATCTCTTCTTCACAATCCTTCACTTTCTGTTCAGTTTCTTCTACCTAAAAGTTCCTTTTAAAACCTACTTTTGCACTGGTGGTTTTCAGGAGTTCGATTTCAGCCTCTTTTTGGGCGCTGGTCTTCTGCATGGACTCTATTGTGGCAAGGAGGGTGGTGATTTTGTGGGTGGAGGTCTGGGTTTGGAGGATGTTGGCTTCTTGGAGTTGGAGGAGCTGGGCTTCGAGAGAGGCTGTTTTGGACTTTTGGTCTTGGTGTTTAGAATTTATTCTCTTGTAAAAGTTGTTCATTTTCTTCCTGTAAAGACTCTGCTTCATATTCAAGTCTCTCTAGCTTGGCCTGTAAAATAGCCACCAGTGAAGAATTTGAAAGATCTGAATCTGCGATATGACAAGGGGCACGATAAGGCAGTTCTATGGATGGTAAGGAAAATTCAGGAAATAGAAGTTTATAGGGACATGAATGGAAGTTTAATATAAAAATCCTCTTTTAATGGGTAAAGTGGATAAAGAAGCTTTTTTGAAAAAGTTGGTAAAAATGAAATATAGTCTAAATTTTATGAAAAGATCAGAAACTATAAGGAAAATTGTATAAAAAAGCTAAATGAAAATTCAGCAAAAAATTAAAATGAGTATCTTTTACTTACCATCCTCAGATATATTATCGAACTCTTCATCATCACTAGGAATGTTTACAGATTCACAAATAGCAATGCTACTTAAAGCATCAGGTCTGACTACAATGCCTATAAGAAAAAAAATTTAGTGGATATATAAAAAGAGATAAGATAGCAAATTCTAAGAGAGAATTAGAGCAGGGATTAAAATTAGAGGAATATTAAGATTGAAGTGTCCAAAATAAACAAAGACCAGAATGATATTAATATCAAACAATTTCTGGTCGCAATAACTCATATACACACCTATCAACAGCTCCACTACTCCACCCTCACTCTCCCACTCTCTCACTTGTTCCAAACGCTCCATTCCAATCTCTTAGCACTTATCGAACAAATTCGGCCGAATTGCAGAAACTTGGAAAATAGCCCCTCAGCCATTTGATGGAAATTTTGATGGATGGCTTAAAGCTGGTTTAGACCAGCAATGAGGCCAAGAGGTGGGAGGAATAGGAAGAGAGAGTGATGAGGGAAAGGAGGAGATGAGAAAGAGGGGGTGGGAAGGGAATAGGGGAGTTTAAGAGAAATTTGGGAGGTTTATTGGGTTTTAGGAAATTTTTGGGCGTTATGGGTGGTTTTAGAGGAAAGAGTCATTTAATTGAGTAATAGAGAGGGGTTATATGCTTATTTTTCTGTTATTAACCTCTTTTGATGCTTGTTGTTCTTATTTTCACTAAAACTATCCCATTTTGCTTCATTGAAAGCTTCTACAAACCCAAAAGCATTTTATTTTAATCCTTTATTTCTTTGGACTATTGACACTCCCTTAAAATCTCTAGGACTTCTTTCTATCTTCAAATCCCGCGAATGGAAAAGTGAAACCTTACCTTTCTTTTCTTTGGTCTCCATTACTTCTTTATCTAATTATTTATTCAAATAATTTCATTTTAGATGGACTTATATGGGGTTTTGGGGTTTTGGGGTTTTGGGGTTTTGGGG